TGTTAAATATAATTATATTATACATATAATTATATAATTATAATTTATATTAAGATATAAATATATTATTATTAATGCAAAAAAATATAATAATATTAAAAATGTATGAAAATAGTATACATATCTATTTGTTTCTTGAAAATTTTATTTATATTTAAATTATATACTTAAACTTTGAAATTGGAATAAATTTGGAATAAATTACTTCTTTCTATAAATAATAAACAAAAAATAATTTTAAAAGTTACATTGTACATCAAATTTCCGCATAAAAATTAACTGTAGATAAAATTATAGATAATATGAGTCATTAAGTTTATTAATTTTTAAAAATAAGGAAATTGACTTACCCAACTGCGCCATTAGATAAAACTTGAGTTTGTCTGTCCAAGGCTTCCTGTATTGCTTGAGGTGAATACAAATTGATAGGAGAGTTGAACTGTTTATTCACGAACATTGTCCTTTGTGCGGACATACTTGCGCTTTTGTATAAATTTCTAATTCTGAAAAATAACAAGTGATAAATAATATAAAAAATTTTATGTATAAAAATTTTAATTTCTGCATTTTTTTTTCAATAATATAAAAATTATTTTTTTATCATTGATATCATGGAACGAAGTATTGAATTTTTATTATATAATTTTTAAATGCAAAATATGATAAAAAACGATAAAACATGTCATAAGGAATTTTGTTATTATAACAACCAAGTTATTCACAATCCGTTAAGACATTATTTATAATAAAATAAAAATTTTTAATTATTCTTCGATTCATATTATAATTTTTTTTTATATATCATTTTATTTTATTATAATCATTTTATTTTATATCTTATATATAACTACTTAAAGAACAAAATTTATTTTTTTAAATAATAGATAATAAATAACTTGTAGTTTGACTTGTGATAAAATGTGCAAATGACCTTCGTAGCAATGTACTAGTAAAAACAGAAATAATTAACATTTATTGTATGTATAGTTATGTTAAATAACAAAATTGTTATTCAAATGATATATACGGTATATGTATGGATAAAACGATATATTATGAATATATTGCGATATGCTTCGATAAATAAGGTCAAATTAAGGAGAAAGAAATAAGGCATAAAGTATAATTATCGTTTGGCAAACTAACACAAGATTTGGACTAAATCATTCTAAACAAGCTTTAATTTAACATTTATGGTTACTAATTTAGAAAATTTTACGAATCTCTTATATGTTATGCCAACTTTTGTGTCGTAATTTTGACAGTAATTAACTAGGCAGTAGTTTTCAATCTAAATCGCGAAAAGAATCACATATTTTAATTGATAATTTTAATCTTTATCTCAATAACTAAAATTTTCGACATTATTCAATTCCTGATTTTAATAATTTTTCGTAATAAAATTCTAAACTTGGAATGTAAATCAAGAGATTTATAAAGATTTGCAAATAACAATAATATAACTAAATATTTGAATATTATTATTAATTCAAAGATAGTTTGTTTTTCAATCAAAAAATATTATATTTTCAAAATGTTTCTTAATTTATATCGGACTATTCACAAATAATTTATATTTGACTATTTGCAAATAATTTAAATATTGCAAAATGAATCGTAAATAATTTTAAATATTACAAAATAGAGTTGCAAATAGTTTCAATATTACAAAAGATATTTAATATTGCTCGACAAAATATTGGGAAACACTGAATTACAGTCATTTCTGATTGGACGATACATTACTGCGGATTGGCACGTGAATAATTATAAGAAGAGGATCGAACGTGCGATCTTCTAACATAAATACTATTAGCCAACGATGATTCATCGTCGAACTGATCGCATATTGTAACGAAGTAAAGTACAAACGCAAAAAGTGGGTCACGAATCATCGTCACGATGTTTCGGGATCGTTCGACGAATGTTTGGATATTTGATATCCAAACCGATGATGGTTGTACGAAAATTCGTGCCAAGAAATGTACTCAGGAGCGTAACATGAAAATGGGATCTGAATCACGAAATAGGAAAGCAGTAATCAGACATTTTCACATACATTAACTTTTAATTCTTATTATATTTGCATTATATTTGCTTCTTTCAATTTATAAGATATATTTTGAATTTACTGGCACGTATGATTTTTAAAAATTGAAAAACGTTTTATTTATGTTATTTAATTAAATTGACATGTAAAAAAACTGAAAGAACAAAAAAAAATTGTAAATATTAATATTTTAAATGTTAATGTTCCAATATTGTTATTGATATTTGTTTAATGATAAAAAGTTTATTTTTAAAACGGATAATCTTCTATGATTTTATATTTAAAATAGAAACTTTTTAAATTCCTTAGAAATATAATTTGAAGTCATAATAAATAAATCATATATTATATTTTAATTTAGTCGAAATGAAAAGTTATATTATAATATTGATCATAACTCAGGAGTTTCAAAGATATATTTTCTTCATAAAAAATTATGAGAACATTTATAATTATAATGAATATTTTGTTATTGTAATATTTTAAATTTTTTCGATAATATTATTATTCAAAAATGTTTTCATTTTGAAATAGATCATTTTATAGTAATAAGATAAAGAAAATAGTAAAATAATCTATATATGATCTATATATAGTAGTAAAATCTTTAATGATTCAAATATAAATAAAATGAAAATTACATTAATCTTCTATAAATGGTTCATTCATAATTATTCATTAATATTTTCTTGTTTAATTGATAGTAATATGTATAAGAAATTTGAAACTTATTAGTAAATAATAAAATAAAGTTCAAGATTCATAGATTCATTCAATAGTCAAGAACAAAAAAAATTTAAAACAATTAAAATTAAAAACTGCTTATGTTTATTAAATAAAAATCATATATGTATTATTATAAAATAAAATAAATTGTGATTGTATTTAAAACTTGTTTATCATTAAACTTGTTTATTAATATTTGAAGACATTTTCAATTCTAGATCAAAAATAAAAAGCATATCTCATATTCCTACTTTAATATACACATAATAATTGAAATATAAATGAAAAATCAATAATGAATAAAGCAAATATATATAATACAGAATTAAAACACAATTCTAAAAGTTTTTATACTGCAAAATAATAAAGATTTTTTTATTTGTAATTAAAAAATTATTTTTATTTAAAAAAAAATTGTCTATTTTAAAAAATGTTTTTAATATTTTTTATTGAAAAAAATTTTTAGATATAAAAAAAGAAAAGAAAAGAAAAGAAAAAAAATAATCTAAATTATTTTTTAAAACGAAAATGTTTAAAATTATATCTATAATTATGTTTAAATTAATTAATAAAATTAATTTAAAAATTTAAATAGTAAATAAACTGTTTCTATTTAAGTACTTCGTACTAGTTAAACTGTCAGTCTGGAACTCGGTTACGCCGTCATTAATGGCCGGAAACTCGAACGAAAACAGCGAAGAATTGAAAAACGAAGATGTACATGGGCAAAACGCACGTTTATCTTATGAAAGTTTCGGATTCTCTCTGACGCGTCACTGCTGGGCAGCCACCGGTAGTCTACCGAAGTTATTTTTGCTACGAAATTCCTCCGAATATATCTACATCGTCCGCAAAATCTCTACATCTCCCTCTTTTCACTTCGTGACCTGAAGCACCTAATGATACTTCTGGATCGTATTAGATTACAGTGGAATTGCAGATTCGACAATATATTGAGAAACTAGTCAAACCTTTCAAAAGATTTAGACGACAACTAATTTCAGAAATCTTTTTTGAAATATATAATCTATACAATTCCGTTTTCTTTATGTAATCGATATCTATTTAAGTTTTTTTATATTTTTTAATATTTAAACAATGTTTATATTACAAATTGCAATTAAAAATTAAGATTTATTAAAAATAAATTTTATTTGCAAGATAAAACATCATATCAGTTTTTCAAACAATTATCTATATCAAAATTTTGATTAACATTGTATCTGAAAATTTACGATCATATTTTTTAGTTTACATCGATATTTCTTTAATTATATATATTTACATAGTAATAATGTTTCTGAAAACGCGACAAGAAATGTTCAAAATGAAACTTTGTCCTTGTTTGCTAAATAAATATATATATATTTATACTACAAAATAGATACACACTATCTATTTTAACATGTATTACAATGTCATATTCATAAAAACCTTTAATTATGCTATATGTAATGATTTTTTATAACTATTTTTTTTTAAATCACAAATATTTTATAAAAAAATGAGATTGAATAACATTGAGATTTTTATTTAAAAAAAAAATTATGATATTTATTCTGTTTTTAATAAATAAAAACAATATAGATAAAATTGCATTTCTGATAGTAATTGTACTTATGTATTGTATAATTTAATATCAATAAATAAAAATTAAAACGTTATTCGAATTGATCGTTTAACATAAATAATATCATTCATATCATAGTCGATAATCGTTTAAAACGAGTTACCAACGACCGCTTTAAAAATCAATTGTATCGTATCGCAACTGGATATACAATCGTTGATATATTCAGTCGATTCCATAATCATTTGTTACCGACAGTTTCTTTTTATAATAAGTATAAAATTCAATCATTCTTAAACAAATAAAGCACAAATAAAACATAAAGCGAAAGCAAATTTAAAACTTGATGTTTTAAATTTTCGTGTAATATAGAAAAAAACCAAACATATAGATAAATTAATGGAATAGGCGGAGCATATTTCTTATCATATGTTTCACGCAAATATTTAAATATTCTTCGAATTGTATGATAACAAACTATTTATTCGAATAAAATAAACGGAAATCATTTGACATTTATTTATATAAAAATCATGAAAAATTATGAAAAAAATAAAAAAAAAATGTGATTGAATATATATATTTTTGTTTTTTTAATGAAATGAATTTAATGAATGATATATGATATAATGAAATGTTAAATATGTAAAATATATACACTTAAATGATTTTCTATTTTTATATATCACATTGTATAATTTGTATGAATTATGCGAATATAAAATCTTTGTTTATTGTTAATATTACCAAGAATTTTTATTAATAACACAATTCATATATTATTTTGTACTATGAAACCTCATCGCAAATATATTTTAAAAAATATAATGTTACATCGAAATACATTGTTAAATAAATTTTAAATCGTAATTAAATCACGTATATCTATATATATTTTTTGTTATAAATACATATTATAGCAAAAATTTGTATTATTTTTTTAGTTTTCTTTTACACATTTTTTTTCAATTAATTTCGTTCCGTTGTATCGTTATACAAATGAATCATCCCTTAAATCACTTGATGAAATTTCTGGATTTACAAGACGAAAATGCGAAGCATGAGGATCACAATGACGAGCACCTACCTTCGCGTTAAAACGCAAGGCACGCGGGTTCCTCAGTGGCGAAACACACTGGACGGAAAAGCGAAAGCACAAGAGAAGTAATGGGAATCACCCCCTCTCTATCGGAAGAATCGTCGAATCACTCTCCTTTCCTCTTCTGACTTGTTAGTTATTTTCGACCCTTATTCTCCACCAATCTTCATATCTAACAATGTTTTTGGCAAACGTAGGAAATTGTTTTGCGTTTCCTGAAATTCTCTCTTTTTAAATTGTTGACAACTTTCCAACAAACTTTGTTTACCATCGCAGATGCGATGGATACCATTTTCTTTTAAAATTACCTAGCATGCACTTATATCTGATGATAATGTTATCTTGATATAAATTATCCAATATTAAATATTGAATTGTTTGTTGCTTCAATTAATGAATACATAAATTTTAAATATATGTGACATATATATACTCATAATAAAAATTTTATATTTATATTACAGTTAAAACAGAAACTTATTTTTAGATATCTATATACTTCCTTATTAATATTTTTAGAAAATTTTATTTGGAAAAATATAATGAATAAAAGATTTTTGCATTTTGATTATTGCATTTTTGATTACAAAAAATTAATGAAATATAATTTATAGATATAGTAAATATAATAGATATAAATAATAAATATAATCCTTCTATTATAATATTTCATAATTCTAAAAAATCGATTGCATCAATATTATAAAAAACATATAAGTATAATAAAAAAATCCTTTTTAAAAATTTATTATAAAATTTAATTTTTAGTATGGGTAAAAAAAATTTAATTATATTTAAATAAATAATAATTATAATTAAATAAATAAATTTCATGATAATTAATTTGAAATTTTTAAATATGTTAATTATTTTTAAAATAAAACAAAAAATAAATTCTATATTCTTTAATTATAATAACAATATAAAATTATAAAAAATAAATTATTTATCTTTTATAATATATAATTTTCTT